TCAGATGACTCTGAAGAACATGGTGTAACATTATATGTTCAAATTATCTTACAGATCTTTTTTTATTGCTGACTTCTAATTGAAAGCTAATGAAAAATATACTATCAAATTCAGGGTAACAAAAATATTTAATTCTGCTTAATTTAACAAACATTTATAGCCTTAGTTTCCACAGTTTCCACAGTTTGAAATATGGGAGACGCAAAAGATAGAAGGCTTAGTTTCTAGTCATAAGGGAATTTAGAATGTTCATGAAAATTTTCCATAGAAAAATAATAAAGGAGTAGCAGTAAAAGATGGCTAATAATCCAAAGTAAGGGCTCAGAAATAGCAGCTACCATAACAGGAAGAAGGAAGGGCTGATTATGGACTGACATATTTATGGAAGATTTCATCACAAATGGATAATTGCCTCTAAATAATATAGACATGACTTTACAACATATTGTAGCGTATTTTACTCCTGCAAGTGATATTCATCAGTTACGTTATCTTGTTTATCTATACAATTTTTCTTATACTTATTTCAATATAAATCAATTATGCCCATAGGAAAAGAATCTGTGATAACTCACTATATCTATTTTGCACAGATTTTCTAAAGGCAAACGCCAGTAGAAACCACTCTGTAGTTCAAGGCTAGGTCCAGAGTTTTGAGTCAGAAATGTTTACTTGTATTTTTGTCAGTTTGTTTTGCTTTTATATAAATAACATTGTTTTTAAATTAGTCATATTTTTCTTTCTTATTCATGTTTTTTTCTATTAGTGTTAACTTTAGTATTTTTAATTCATTCTTCAGTTTTTCTTCTATTTTTTATTTGGGGCTTGGTATATAACTTTCAAATGTACATTTTTTTATATAAATGCAACTAATTTAATATTCTTTAGAAATCTTTCTTTTAGTGTTTTAGCATTATTGTTTTACTATTTAATGCTAATATATAAAACAAAATTAATGAAAGTATAAATCTATGATGTTACATCTTCCGCAGTTTACTTTAAAATAGTTCAAAGGAAGCAGTGGCATGTGTATAGGTAGAAAAGTTAATTGCAATCTACAACCTAGAGCTGTTAGATCACACTTGAAGGATGTTATCTGAAATCCACATTCTATAATTAGCTAACAAAAGCACATAAAGTATTACCAACTTAATGTACACCAGCAAGAAGTCTGATAGTTTGTCTCCAAAGATGGCCCCAAAGGAGCCAGCCTTCGAGATCCTGTGTAGTTTTTGCCCACAAAGAATGGTGAGGTAATTCTGGACCTACACTTTAAGAAATGCTGTTGATTTTTAATTTTGAGATCTTGGGAGTATTGAGCAGCTATGAAAGATGTCCAATTACACCTGCTGGAGAGACTGTGTGAGATACCCTAAGACCGTGTGTATTAGGGTTTTATAGAAGGACAGAACTAATAAGATAGATGTACATATAGATATATGAGTTGATTAAGGAGTATTGACTCACACGATCACAAGGTGAGGTCTCGCAATAGGCTGAAGCTGAGGAGCAAGGAAGCCAGTCCGAATCCCAAAGCTGAAGAACTTGCAGTCTGATGTTCGAGGGCAGGAAGCATCCAGTGCAGGATAAAGATGTAGGCCAAAAGACTAAACCAGTCTAGTCTTTTCGCATTCTTCTGCCTGCTTTTATTCTGGCCGTTACTGGCAGCTGATTAGATGGTGTCCACCCAGATTGAGGGTGGGTCTGTCTTACCCAGTCCACTGACTCAAATGTTAATCTCCTTTGGCAACACCCTCACACACACACCCAGGAACAATACTTTGCATCCTTCAATCCAATCAAGTTGACACTCAATATTAACCATCACACCATGTAACAAAGAGAAAGGCACAGTTGTCTCCATGTTCCAGTTGAGCTTGTAACGACAGCCAGTCCAGGCACTTTCTCAATGCAACTACATGAGAAATCCCAGGCGAAACAAGCAAAAAAATGAAGTGCATTGAGAAGAACCGAAGACTTAGCAATAAAGAAACAAGTTAAAATAGGGGAAAAACAAACAAACAAACAACAACAACAAAAAGGAAACAAGCCATCATTGGAGGCTGAATGCATTACTTTCTTAGCCTGATAAAATGTATTTGCAAAAAAAAAAAAAAACCTTATGGTTAACATATTTTATGGTGAAAAAACTCATCCTACTTATGATCAGAAACAAGGCAATAATGTCCATTTTTAGCACTTTTATTCAGCACTGCAGTAAAAGACTTGGGCAGTGGAAGAAGGTAAGAAAAAAATAAGTCAAAACAATACATATGTGTTTGCAAATGGCATAATAATTTGTATACACAATTTTAAATAATCCACAAAATATATCTTACAACTCATAAGTAAATGTAGTAAGATTACAGGTATGTTGTAAATATATGACAGTCTTATGTATTTCAATATAATGATAATGAACAATTACAAAATGAGATATAAAGACACATCTGTTAAAATAGTACTGTACTGGGTTAAATATTCTCCTCCAAATTCATGTCTACCTGAAACTTGTGAGTGTGATCTTATTCGGAAATAGGGTTTTTGCAGATGTAATCAAGTTGAAATATGGTCATGCTAGAGTAGGGTTCGACCTGATAAAAAGAAACAAATTTGAATGCAGAGACACCAGCACAGAGAGGAAAGACACCGCATGAAGAAAGGAGGATGAGATTGGAGGCATGAGTTGACGAGCCAAGGAAGACAAAGACTGCCAGGAAACAACAGAAGCCAGCAGAAATTTTATGTTGTTTAATTTTATGTTGTTTTTGATTTTTTGGGTACATAGTAGGCATATGCATTTATCAGTACCTGAGATATTTTGATACAGACATACAATGTGTAATATCACATCAGGGTAAATGGGGTATCTGTCACCTCAGGTACTTATCCTTTCCTTGTGTTACAAATATTTCAATTATACTATTTTGGTTATTTTTAAATGTACAATAAATTATTGTTACCATGTTGTTGTATCAACAGGTATTAACCCTATCAAACTGTATTTTTGTACCCATTAACCATTCACATTCCTCACTCCCACTATCCTTCCAAGCGTCTGGTAACCATCATTCTATTCTCCATCTCCATGAGTTCAATTGTTTTAATTTTTAACTCTCGCAAATAAGTGAGAATATATGAAGTTCGTCTTTCTGTGTATGGCTTATTTCACTTAACATAATGACCTCCAGTTCCATCCACGTTGTTGCAAATGACAGGATTTCATTCTTTCTACTGCCGAATAGTACTCCATTGTGTATTTGTACTGCATTTTATTTATCCATTCAATTCTTGATAACACTTAGGCTGCTTTCAAATTTTGGAAGCCAAAAGAACTTTTGAGAAAATCAACCAGATAATTGTCAAATTTATATGGAAATACAAAGGACCTTCAACAGCAGATTTTGAGGGCTTACAGGATATGATTTCAAGATTATAAAGCTGTGTTATAAGATAATGCAGCAAAGCATTAGGAAAAAGATGGAACAGGATATAACTGTATTAGTCCATTCCCTCACTACTATAAAGAACTACCTGAAACTGGGTAATTTATAAAGAAAGGAAATTTCATTTGTTCACAGTTCCACAAGCTGTACGGGAAGCATGACTGGGGAGACCTCAGGAAACTTTCAATCATGATGGAAGGCGAAGGGCAAGCAGTCATGTCTTACATAGCCAAAGCAGGAGTAAGACAGAGTGGGCAGGTATTACGCACTTTTAAACAACCAGATCTCATAACTCACCCACTGTCATAAAAACAATACCAAAGGGAAAATTTGTCCCCATGAACCAATCACTCTCCACCAGGCCCCACCTCCAACACTGGGGATTTCAATTTGACATGCTTTGGGTGGGGACACAGACTCAAACCATATCAACACGCAAACACATATAGTCAATTGCTTTTTAGAAAAAGTTCAAGGACATTTAATGGGGAAAGAATTATCTTCAATAAACTAGTGCTAGGACAACTGAATTATCAACCTAAAAGTTGTGTATCTATTCTTACCTCACCCCACCTACAAAATTAACTCAAAATGGATTATAGATTTAACATATGAGCTGAAATACAAACTTAATGAAAGAAAATGTAGGCGTATATCTTTATCATCTTGTATAGCACTAGCCATGCAAGAAAAAAAATAAGTTGACCTTATATGGGACTTATATATTCAAATTTTATAAAAGAAAAAACATATTAATAATGATAAAGTAAACTGTGGTTTAGAAACTGGACAAAAAATGTGAACAACAATTTCATAAAAGAAGGTATGAAACGTCAAGTAAATAAATGTAAACATTCACAATATAATTAGCTGTCAGGTATACAGAAATTACAACTAAAGTGAAATATTACTACGCAAACAGAAAATCCCATCAAAACAACTTTTGATGACTTGACATGTAACTTTTTTTTTTACTTTAAAATGGTGCAAAAGCAATACACATTCAGTAGAAAGCAGTAGAATACCCTCTTGCGGTGTTGGGCAGTGGCAGGGAGCTAAGGCTTCCAGTCAGCCACAAGATCACCAGGGTAAACAAGAGATACTCTACAGTTTGCTATGTTGCCAGATGATTTTGCTCAATTGTAGAATAATGTAAGTGTTGTGAGCCTGTTTAAGGTAGGCTAGGCTAAACTATGATGTTTGATAGTTAAGGTGTATTAAAAATGCATTTTCAACTTGTGATATTTTCAACTTAACAATGGGCTTATTGGGGCATAAACCCATCGTGAGTTGAGGAGCATCTAGTACTAAAATGGCTAAAAATAAGACCAACAATATCAGGTGTTAGAACATAGAGTGACATAGAGTGACAGGAAAACACCACCAAAGAACTACCTGAAACTGGGTAATTTATAAAGAAAAGTTATTTATAACTTATAAACTGCTGATACATATAAAATATATAAAATGAAACAACTAATTTGCAAAAGACATTGTGGTATAATCACACCACCCTAGTTGGAAATAAAAGATATGAATTACTGATACCCCAAATGACATAGATAAATCTCAAAAGCACCACGCTGAACAAAAGGAGTCAGACACAAGAGCAGTTATTTAAATCCACTTACATGACATCTAGGACAGGCAGAACACCAGTCGACAATGACTGAATTCAGATCCATTGGTGTCTGTGTTGACGACTGGGGAAGATTGCCTACAGAAGAGTATAAAGGAACATTTTGAGAAGATAAAAATGATATAATTTTTAATTGTGGTGGTTAAATATTGATATGTACAGTTAGCAAAACTTATCAAATTGTACTCTTAATATGGTCATTTAATTATATGTAAATCATACCTCAATAAAAGTCAATTTCTTTCAAAAACACCATAAAAAGATACCACCAACAGGGAGTAGAGTGACTAAAATTTGTTAAAGATTTACCATAAGTCCCTTCTGTTGGAGATTATGTAGAGTAACAGGAAACTTTTATATACTTTGAGTGAAGGTATAAAAAATAGCACAGCTACTTTGGAAAACAACTGTTCTATTTAAAACAGTTTTATACAATGTTAAAAATAAAAATATCACATGACTCAGTAATATCATTCTGATAACAAAAATAAAAATGTATCTATCATAAGATCTGTTCCAAATTTTTGTAACATTTCAAATATCCCCAAACTGAACACCCTAAATGTTCATTAACAGCTGAAGAGATAAAGAAATTATACTACATTCATGTAATGGAATATTACTAAACTGTAAGAAAAAAAACCTCCTGATATATGCAACTGATGCATAGATGAATCTTAAAATATTATGCTGAGGAAAAGAAGCCAAACACATAAGCACACAAATTAAATGATTCATATATATATAAAACTCTACAACATAAAAACTAATCTTTAACAATAAAAATCATACCAAATCCATACAAAAACCTACACATGAATGTTTATACCAGTTTTATTATATTTTATTTTACGTTTTGAGACAGGATCTCAGTCTGTCACCTAGACTGAAGTGTGGTGGTGCAATCTCAGCTCACTGCAGCCTCGACCTCCTGAGCTCAAGAGATCCTCCCACCTCAGCCTCCCAAGTAGCTAGGACTACAGGTGTGCACCACCATGCCCGGCTAATTTTCATATATTTTTTTTTAGTCACAGGGTTTTGCCAGGCTGCTCTCGAACTCCTGAGCTCAAGTGATCTGCCCACCTTGGCCTCCCAAAGTGCTGGGATTACAGGTTGAGTCACCACACCCTGCCACAGTTTTATTTTTAATTGTCAAAACTTGGAGACAAACAAGATTTCCTTCATTGGAGGAACAGAAAAATAAACAATGGAAGAAATGAATAACAAGAGATGAATAAGCAGAACACAGAGTTTTATGGCAGTTAAACTACTCTAAATGATACTTCAATGGTAGATACATCTCACTATACATTTGTCAAAAGCCATATAATATATATACAAGAGTGAACCCTTATGTAAACCCTGAATTTGGATGATAATGATGTGTCAGGTTAGGTGCATCAATCATAATAAACGTACCACAGTGGTGGGGGATACTGATAATGGAAGAGGCTACTCTTATTTGGGGGCAGGGGATATGTGAGAACTCCCTGTACTTACTGCTCAATTTCATTGTGAAACTAAAACTGTTTTTTTGTTGTTGTTGTTGTTGTTGTTTTTTAAAGGCTATTTAAAAGGGTAAAATCATTTTAAGGTTGCCTGATAGAAAGCATTAGTCTTTTCTGCAGAGTCATGAATGACACTTTTGGGATTATGGGAATGTTCTAAGTGATCAGGTAGTGGTTACATGAGTGCATATATTTTTTAAAATTCATGCAACCATACACTCAGAGTGGATTAATTTTAATTACACTTCAATGAACTTGATTAGAAATAATTTTAAAGGCATATTTTAGCAGAGGGGGGCATTAGGTAGACTTGGTAATTGTCGACTTAAGAAAAAAAGATGTATTTGGAAATAGCAAGAATATGAAGTTCACAAGCTGTTCATGGTATTGGCAGCACTCTTATCCCCAATTAATGACCCTTCCTTATGCATGCACTTTGGGCTACATCTTTTTTTAAATTTTCATCTTTTGTGGGTACACAGTAGGTGCATATATTTATGGAAGGCATGCAATATTTTAATACAGGCATACAATGCATAATAATCACATCAAGTTAAATGGGGTATCTGTCACCTCAAGGACTTATCCTTTCTTTGTGTTATAAACAATCCTATTATACTCTGTTAGTTATTTTTAAATGTACAACAAATTATTGTTGACTGTAGTTTGAATGAGATCTTTGGGCCACATCTTTGCAGTGCTCGTCCACTTCATTTGACCCATGTTAAGATAGTCAATGTAATGTCAGCTGATGTTTGCATTATATTTCTGCCTTGGTACTCTTATTTGGCTGCACTTACTCATTCTGATGACTCTGCATTCAACCAAAAGAACTTCATTAGGCTGTAATTTTGCATAGAAGGGAGACAGGACTGAGAGAGCTACCTTTTCCTAGCCATCCTACATAAGTTATTTGCAGATCATCCCCCCAGCCAGTTAACACATTCACATGTGAGGAAAAGATTTCCCCAGCAGAGTCCAGCCTAAATGTTGATCCACAGTGAATTCGGTTTTAGGATGGTTTTTATGGTCTATGGAGCACTTCATATAAAAGTAACTTTTAACGAAAATGATTTTTAAATAATTTATACTTTCTCCTAGTAAACATTTTGACAATATAATTTAAAAGAGATGGACTCAAGTGTTTAATGGGCCAAGATTTTCCTATATAGGTTAGAAATTTGGGGTTAGAAAAGACTGTTTTAAGCCACAAAGTTAAATTTTTGAATAAATTAATACCAACTGTGATTCATATTATTGGTGTATTTTGCTTTACACCAATAAGTTGGTAGTAGATGTATGTGCAGTTAAGTCATGGATGATTCTTAGGTTTAAATTATTTTCTTGTTTCTGTGGGATCCCATGACTTAACAGACATCACTCACCTCTATTATCTTTATTTATATGTATTTTTTTGGCTTATTTCAAAGTAAAATGGTTCTTACCCTAGTTGTTTCCCTCCCTCTCTTGATTTCTATTCCCTGGCCACACTTTCACCTGATGAAGCATAGTCCAGTGTTAGGCAAAATTCTGTGAAAAATAGTATTTGGTGTAATGATATTTCCCTTGAATTTTAAATTTCTAAGTAGAGAGTCTTGGTGTTAATATCGTCTTCCAGTGAAATCCATTAGACTAAGAATTAATTATACCTTATAAAATAAAAATACTATCAACTTTAAACCAATTTTTAAAAATTTTTTGATAAGAGGAAAAAGGGGGGCAGGCACTATTTTTAACCTGCTTTTATTATTAAATACTCAAAGCATAATAGCTGACATGCCAAATAAAGGCTTTGACAGATGATTATTAAAGCACGTGGACTTAAAGGGCTTGTATGAGTGGAAAAATGACAAGTTAATATCAGGTACATCATCTTCTTATGCACTTTACTCATTTCTATTACACAGAATCATTAAGGATCGTATTCGTAAACGTCATGCTGCAAATTAAATTTTTGTCATAAACCTGTTAGAAGGAAAAGCAAAAATTATGATTTTCTGATCACAATACTGAATAAAAGTTTTACCATTTTATTAATATATGTAGTAGTGATTAAGAAATTTTAAAATTAGCTTTTTACAGTAAGCTACACTTTTGATTTCTCAAGTATTTTCTACTGCTTCATGATTTAAATATCTGCTCTTCTTTAAAATACCCACTTAAAAAAAGTTACCACTTCTAGAAATGTTTAACTTCATGTTTGTCAGTTCTAAAACTTGCCTATACCAATCAAACCTAGATTTGCGATCTGGCCTACTATTCCTCCAAAAACAGGATATAATGAGAAGTGGTTGTTTCTTCCAACTGAAATTGAACATAGTATACAATACAATATCTATTGTTCACCAATGTGACCAAAGCAGAAGTAACAAGCTACCTGGGCTCTTCCTGTTGGCCTGTCGGAAAACATGTTATTACCATCTCATAAACACCATATAAACTAACTTCAGCATAATAATAAAGTCAACCAATTCTGGTCATCTGAAAGGCTTCGACCCTAATCCTGATCATGCCAGTGGAAGGGATGGTAAGGTAACAAGATATGACAGATTTGTTTCTATCATATCAAATGGCTATTAGAGAAAAAGGTAGGTTCTTCTGTAATCTTAAAGCTTAGAAGCTCCATAGCTTTGAGGGCCGCGCTCTTCTCCCAGAGCCTTTCATCTTACCCTGCCAGACCTCCTGCAGCACTGGAACGAGTGTGTGGCTTGTGAGTTTTACCCAGTGAATGCTTTACTAACAACCTGGGGTGCAAGAAAGGTGCTACTTAACCATTCACTGCTCTGATTTGTATGACTTATGTTTATTACATACGTTTCATTTTTTATTGATTTCATAGTGAAAGCTTACCTTAAAAATTTATACTCCTCCCATTTTTCTCCACTTTTCTTTTTTTTTCATTCTATATATCTAACCTCATCTTTTTTCAAATTGTATTTTAAACAAAGGGTTATGTATGAATGAGAGAAAAATGTGAGAAACAGCCACGAAACTACATATACTATAAATTTCTATTAAAAACAAAATATTTTATTAGTTTTATTTTGGTGCTGTATTGTAGTTTTACCATAATAAAACCACGTTAATTTATCAGCAACATCCAATAGCATTAGAATAGCTTAAGACTGCAAAGATAGAAAATATAGAGCACAAATATTCCAGGGTATTTAATATATTATTCCAACCATCCATGTTTAAGCCAATGTTATTTTAATTAGAAATTTTCAGATCAGCTATTTACAAGGCATAAACCATTCCCATCAATTTTATTCCATGAATTGTACACAGTACAGAGCCATTTCCACATTCTTTTATTTCTCTAGGAAAATATATAGTGATTATCAAGGTAGTTACTGTAAAAGTAAAGATGAGAAAGTTACCTGAATATTACAAAAATAAAGTATCAATACACACCATATGTAAGTTATTCTTATAACAAGCACACGTAACTTTGACAAATGAATCTTAAAATTGTCAGTGGGAATAAATTTACACCAGGTGTCCTTTTTAAATAAATTGTTTCAGGAACATGAATTATTGTATTAAAGAGTACATAATTCATCCTTTTTT